GTCAGACGACGCCGCCGGCGGCGGCGGCGGAGTCTGCTAGGAGGTTGAAGATCGGGATTTATTTCGCTACGTGGTGGGGCTTGAACGTGATATTCAACATCTACAACAAGAAGGTTCTAAATGCGTATCCCTTTCCCTGGCTAACCTCGACGCTGTCGTTGGCCGCTGGGTCGCTGATAATGTTGATTTCTTGGGCGCTCAGAATTGCGGAGACTCCAAAGACTGATCTCGATTTCTGGAAATCCCTTTTCCCGGTGAGAATTTTGCAGGGTTTTAGCTTTTTTAGCTCATTTTCTGCGATCTGGGGTTTTGTCTTGTCAATTTGTGATTTTTGTTTTCTAGTCAAATTTTCTAACATAATTTTAATTCTTCTGTTAAAAATTTTTTGTTCTGGGCTAATCGTTTTTTAGGGTTTTAACCATCTGTGTTTCTTAAATTTATCGATATTTCTATGATTCTTGTTGCACTGAAAGATCGAATCTTTAATTTTCTCTCGATGCTTGTTTGGGTGGGTGGAGTTTAGGTTGCTGTTGCGCATACAATTGGGCATGTTGCGGCTACTGTGAGTATGTCTAAGGTGGCAGTTTCATTTACACACATAATCAAGAGTGGTGAGCCTGCTTTTAGTGTCTTGGTTTCAAGATTCATACTGGGAGAGACTTTTCCTCCATCAGTGTACTTGTCCCTTCTTCCGATTATCGGCGGGTGTGGTCTCGCAGCTCTCACCGAACTGAACTTCAACATGATTGGTAACAGTTCATCAGTACCTTTTTACATTGGCAATTTGATCGGATCACATGTTTCTTGTTCAAGTAGTTGAGCCGAGACCTACCGATCTTTGAGTTGTTTGGTTGCCAAAAAAAAAAAATTGTAGTCTTTTTAGGGGTGTTAATGGCAAATACATGTTCTCTGTGATATGCTCATGTGGTGGTTTGTTTGGTGTCAACATCAGGTTTTATGGGTGCCATGATCTCGAATTTGGCGTTTGTTTTTCGGAATATATTTTCCAAGAGGGGCATGAAGGGGAATTCGGTCAGCGGAATGAACTATTATGCCTGCTTATCCATCATGTCTCTCTTAATTCTCACTCCATTTGCAATTGCTGTGGAGGGACCACAGCTATGGGCAGCAGGTTTTAAAGATGCCTTGTCTCAAATCGGACCCCAGATTGTTTGGTAATTACCAGACTACCCACCCTACTCTGATTTTTCTTTCCTTGGTCTTGTGTTTTGGCTTGTATAACTTTATTCTATGATACATTTGCTTATGCATGCATATGAACCAATATGCACAAATTTGCTTTATGGTCTTGTGATTATTAGGATGCACGTATCCAATTGGATATACGTGTAAATATGTGATTTATGTTATGTGCTACAAGATTATGAACCCAGCAAAATCATGAAATCAAATTGATGATCCGATATTGTAATATAATTTGCCATTGTATCTTGAAAAGTTTTCTTGATGTTTTAGTTATTTAGACCCTATGTTGGATTTAAGGTAACGGTCGTGTATATTTTCTGCCTTGTTTTCATGTTTTGGATTCTTTCTTCTTTTATTTTCTTTTTTCCTATCTTTCTTTTGTTTTTTTGTGTGTGCATGTGTTTCTCTGTATTGTTTTCATCTGGTTATGTTTTTGTGTGGTTGATATTTGCACATAGGTGGATGGCGGCCCAGAGTGTATTTTACCACCTCTACAATCAGGTGTCTTACATGTCACTGGACGAGATTTCTCCTTTGACATTTAGCATAGGAAACACTATGAAGCGTATTTCGGTCATTGTCTCGTCTATCATTATCTTCCAGACACCTGTTCAACCTGTCAATGCTCTCGGAGCAGCTATTGCCATTCTTGGAACTTTCTTATATTCTCAGGTAATTTGCTAACTCTTGCCTTTTATGGTTTTTTTGTCGTTTGATAACCCTGTCTGTGATATGCGTCTGTAAAAGCTTTGACTTAACACAAACTGATGGCAACTATCTCACGTAATCACGTTGCATGGGTACATCATTGCCAGAATGATAGTACCTTGGGTTTATGTTTAATTACAATGCCGAGATGGTTATAACTAGTTGTGGCCAAACATTATGAGCTTTTGCAAGTCATTTCTCAGGTAAGCTTATTTGGAAACAAAAGGAGAATTAACTTCATGATTATAAGTCAAATTATTGAATGGATGAGAGGTAATTGAAAGGAACTAATCTGCAATATAAACTCCATATCTTAGGTCTGTTATAGGAAAAAGGGACCTCAATCCGGCTTATGTTTACATTTCTTTTACGCTTTCATTCGTTTCACCTTTTTTTTTTTTTAAAAAAAAAGAAAGGTTTCTATTTATCCTTCTGTTGAGTGCATCGACTGCAATTGCTCATGTACTTGTCATCTAAGCTTTGGGGCCTTACCAAGCTTACCAAGATACATTTTACAGGCCAAGCAATGAAGAACACGCAAGTAGGAAGTCGAGTGAAGTGGAGCAGCACAGACGGACACAACGTATGAAGATTTGTGCTTGCTTGAAGGATGATTAGAGATATCTGTGTGTGGCTATTAGAGTGGAACAGCGGCGTTACCTGTAGATAATAATAATGAGTTTCTGTGGACCTTTTTTATCTATCCTATTCTATTTAGTTGAATTAGGTTGATGCAATGATGTGATTCTTGTTATGTATAACTAGAGAATTTTGAGAAAGTTGTACCAATAAACAATGGCGAGCCTGGCCATTTGTTTTCAGGGAATGGAGACTCAGTCGAAGTGTGCGCGGGTCGATCACTCATCGTGATAAGATGTGTCTTAACTCAACACAGCCTCTTTTTCTTTCTTTGATTTCTTCAGGTTCTTAACCCAGATAGCCTCTAACAACAAAAGTACCATAACAAGACTGTAAGCTTGCCTTAAAAACAATATAATCAACTGAAGTTTTCTAGAATGAAGTGACGACACATTACAGGGGCACAGGACTGTAAGCTTGCCGTAAAAACTTGATAATCATCTGAAAAGATTTCCAGAATGAAGTGGGGAAACACATTACAAGGAGATCCACTGTAAGCTTGCCTTAAAAACTACATAATCAACTGAAAATATTTCAAGAATGACAGTGAAAACACACTACAGGGAGGTCCTCGAGAGTCGAGACATACAGAGATATGCCCCGCCAATTTGATTGTAAACAAAAAATTCACTAGGTTTATGAATCTTTGATAATAGGTTATCAACAGTGATAATAATACATACTCTGCATAGAAATAGGGTCATAGCTAGACTTTTAGGGACTTTAATCTCTTCCACAATCTGAAGTCTAAGTTATTATACATAAACTATAATGAGTCTCTCAGTGCTTGCTGGTAAATAGTTTCCGGTTTACATCTCTATTTAACAGAAAGAAACTTGTCAATGAGGGAAAGCATTGCAATAGCCAAATTTCTCCCGAAAATCAGAAACATGCAATATATTAGGGATGGCATGTATAGCTTTCAGAGTTTTAAATGGTTAATGGCAGTCTGAACGTCTTTATCTCCTCTGCCACTGCAGTTCAGGACGACTTTGGTCCCATCCGAAAGAGAAGGGCACAGCTTCTCGAGATAAGCCAGTGCATGAGATGTCTCTAGTGCAGGGATAATTCCCTCTAGTCTCGAAAGTCTCTTAAAAGCTGCACATAAAAGGTAGATTGATAAGCTAATCAAGTTCACAAGTGAATAAGTTTCAGTATTATCTAAATGACGCATTATGAATTCAAAACCTTTGGGGACAAATGAAAGGGCAAACTATTAATAAGGAAATGCAATTGCAGTTCAATTATCTCAAACACGCACAGAACTCTAGGTGGTGTTGTCGTGATATTTGTTACTATTTCATAAATTCAATCCTTGATGGGGGGGCATTAGTCAAGAAAGAACAAATCTCGATGGGACAAATTTATTTTACAAGGTAATGGGGCTTATTTTATATATCTATACAGACTAAAGCTATATTTTTATAACAATTATAATTATTCCACATTATGAGCAAATAGCAATGTATGTAAAAAGATAATGGAAACCCAATTGAGAAGACCA